GGAATATTTTTTACAAATACGTATCTTTACAAATTCGGGACACTTCTAATGTCTTGAGAAACTACAAGGCGGAACTAATAATAAGCTCGTAGGAGGCTTTTTCGGGAATTTATTTCTACAGATAAAACGAAACTTAAGACGCTTTGAAAGTGAGTCGTCCGATTGACGAGTTTTCCAAAAATGCCTTTCTATTGCGATCGAACGGGAACGACGTTTGCTCGCCCCGTGTGGCTTCCTCTATCCACGGGAATACATACCACTCTATTCCCCATCTATCCGCCCGCGCGGATCAGCGAAAACAGAAATACGACGGGGAGAGCGAGAGGAATCGCTACTTTTTTGGTCGAGGCCAATCGGTGCATGGCAGCTGCGATCCTTTCTCGAATCTCTTTCCTTTCGCGTGTGTTCCCTCTTTTCTTCGGACCGACAGGCCCAGGTTTTCCCGGGTAATCCCTTCGAGGAAGAACGTATGATGGGCGGAGGGAGGGAGAGAAAACAGAAGAGAGAGAGAGAGAGAGAGAGAGAGAGAGAGAGAGAGGGAGCAGAGCGATTTCGCGCGCGCGGGAGCGGAAGAAACGAGGATGGCTCGCGAGAGAGAGGACGACCGACGATCCCGCGCTGTTTGCCTTTTATTAAACTCTTGTTAAACGCCGCCTTTCACCGCACACACAATTGAATCGGCAAAACAGCGAAGATAATGCCCCTACTGGGCTCGGTATACGCCCGCAGGATGCGGTGGCTGCAACGAAGGTGGGAGAGAGAGCGAACGAGGGAGAGCAACAGAGAGGGAGAGAGAGGGAGAGGGTGAAAGAGAAGAGGAAGACTTATCGCAAACACCAGTTCCTTGTACGTCTTGAAATGGACACCGTGTAATCCGCCTCTTTATGCAGCGACTCTTTATGCGGGGATCGTCCGGGATTCTTCTTCAGCCGAGAATCTCGCTCGCGCAGCGGAGAGGCGATCCTCGGCGTGAAAGGCGGCCTCACCACGATCGGCTCGAGATCGATTTCTCGTGAAAAGGGACCCCCGCAAAAATGGCGCGGTCCACCCTCCGCAAAACGGATCCGTCTGATGAAAATATTTGGATGTTTCCAACTTGAGATCGACACGGTCGTCGAAAGGGGCCCCATTTCGGTTTCAAAGGGCTGTGGAAATCGAGGGCCCTCTTCTTCCTCGATTACTCCGCGCCCTTACGGAAAACCCTTCGCCAAAGTTGTTCCTTCCACGTCTTAATTCGCATAGTCGTGACACGCGGGGAAGAGGATCACATTCGTCACCGACCGCCTTAAACCCGTAATTCAGGGTAGAATTCGATTTATACTTTTACGTGTATCCATGTAATACGAAAAATAATTAAAATAAATTAAGATTCCTTACATTAAAACAAATGAAAATATTGTCATTAATTTAGCGCAACTATTACAACATCGATAACACCTAATAGCCCACTTTGGACTTTTTAAATTTATTTCAATA